AATCCCCCAGCACCACATGCCAGCCACCCCGCCCCCTGGTGGGCTGAGCTGGCCACACACACACACAAAATAAATAAATTTAAAAAAAGAAAACAATTAAAAAAAAAAAATACTCAGGCCTATACCTGTGGTCCCAGAACTCAGGAGGTGGAGACAGGAGCATTGCCACAAGTCTGAGGCCAACCTGGGATACATACACAGTTGTATTCAACCCAGCCTGAACTACACTGCCAGACCCTGTCTAGGGGTGGGGGGGAGACAGGGACAGTATTCAGGAAAAAATTTCTTGTTAATAAATCTGATTTAATTGGTGCTTTGGGTATAACTATCATGAAGTTTCTCCTCTCCCTTCACATTCTAAACACCTATTTTGATATTTACATCTATAATACTGTAACATTATAAAAAACATGTGGCTTGGAGTGTTAAGAATACAGTATTAAGTAGGGTGTGGTGGTACAGGCCTGTAATCCCAACACTTGGGAGGCTAAGGCAGGAAGATCTCCAGTTGGATGCCAACCTAGGCTACATAGGCAAGACCCAGTCTCAAAAAGCCAAACAATACAAGGTTACTCTAAAACCTAGGCTGCTTCAACCAAGCAGTCAGGCTGAGGTTGCTGTGGTTTGATCCCCACAACTCAAGCCAGCCAAACCTGCCCTGAAGGAATTCGAAGAAAAAAAAAAATCCTAAAAACAAACCTGATTTAGAAGTTTTAAAAAGAAAGCTCTCATTTAATAGAGTGGCATGAAATTTCACCCAAATTCTTTTGAAAACAAGACAAAGGTCACTGCAGGGGTTGGGGAGATAGCTCAGTAGAATAGGCTTTTGCCTGGCAAGCACAAGGACAAGAGTTCAATCTCCGATTCCGAAAAAAAAGTCACTGCAGTTAACTCTATCTTGAAATCAAAATTAATTCGTAATTGATAATTTACTGAGCACCTGCTGTACAGTGCATTCAACTGCACAAATGGAAATATGATTCACCCCAAATATTATTTTACTTAAAAAATAAACGACAGGGAGCCTGGCCCTAGCTCAGGCCTTTAAGTGGCTGCTTCCACAAAGCTGTCAGCCTCAGGTTGCTGGAGTTCGAACCTCACAACTCTCCCGCTGGCCAAAAGTGCCCTGAAGGCGTTCGAGGAACAAAATAAATAAATAAATAAATAAAAATAAACGACAATCATAAGATATCCGGTAACTTATTAATTGTGCATTTCTAAATAGGCTGGTTAAACCAAGAAAAGCTGTGCTTTGATTAGTGGAGAAATTCAGACGGCCAGGATCAGCTAAAGTACATTAGAAAGCTAATAACCTCTATCCTTAAAATATCCCAAGAAAATAAAGGGAGCGATTCAAACTGTTAGCATGTGCCCAATGACACTACACTGTGACAGCCTCGGCAAAACTGCCAGATGCACTTGTAATTAAGAGGCCTAACCTTGATAAAGCATCGTCAGGGCATCTAACTCGGTGGAAGGATTTAGAAAGCAAAACACAAAAAGCACATTTAAAGCACAAACTGCGTAAGTGGCGAAATGATCTGAGCCGATGTTCTTTCCTTCAACTTGGAAGCATCTATTCTTCGGCATTTTAAAACTAAAAATAGGACTGCGAGGTGTAGTCAGGTAGAAGGTTTGCCTAATTAGACTCTGGGTTCTGGCTCCAGTACCAAAAAAGTAAACACACGATTAATGAGAAGTAAAAACGAAAGAGGTACGGTTCTGACAAGGAGCTGCTGCATAACAATACACTAAGATCACTGCCATGAAAAATAAACAGTATACGGGAAGGGAAAAGAGAACTCTGGGAAATTAGGGTAGGCGAGAGCCTCAACCCGGGAATTGTCAGTTTTGACATCCTCGCCGGCTTTTAATGAAAGTTGACAAACTCCCCGAAAGAGGTCGATTTTGGAGACAGACACGTCTCTCATTGATCCACGGCGTCTGCGGACCCGACGGTGCTGTAAGCGCTAGGCGCCTGGCAGCACAAGACTAAGAAAAGCCCTTTCCAAGGCCACAGCCGCGCGGCGCTGGGAGGCCGCGGGCTCCCCGCAGCAGCGGCGGATCCGCGCTAGACCCCGACTCGCCAAGCTGGCGGGGCCGCCGCC